AAGTCAATTAACCGGGACCATTTCGTTTTGGTCATTATATTATATATAATAGATGTTTACATGAGGTCTCAAGTCATTCCGCCTGCTGGACCAAGCCGACTGACTCAGACCAGTATGAATTCAGACTGGAATCAATGTTGACATTGGAACAAGTGAACAACACATGCTAACAAAAGTCATGTAATTGCCTGGCAAGGGGAATAAATTGAAAATTTTGCGATTCTCATACTGGTCTCATGTAAACAGGGCCTTACAAGCTGCGATTCAGTATCATTGGATGAGATTAGGGGCCTGTTTATATGATCCCAGGCGGGACGGGATGCTTACCGAGATCCCGCTCGTAATACAATTGCTAAAGAGTGTTTATATGATCCCGCCACTTATCCCGCCTAGACTGGATCTCAACAACAGATGCCGGGATCCCGCCTAAGAGAGATGAAAAATTCCCATATAAACACTTCATCCCGCCTAGCTGGTATGAAAAATTCCCATATAAACACTTCATCCTGGTTAGGTCGGATGAATTTTTCCCTTTTGGGCATGCGTAAATGCCTTTATTGCAACAAAAATATGACGTCAAGCACCGAATGGTTTCATCCTGGCAATGTATTTTGTCCATATAAACACTAGGCGAGTATCCTGTCTTGGTGGGATGAAAACATTCTGTACCGTCTAGGCGGGATCATATAAAAAGGCCCTAAGGAATTAAAAGCAAGATATATAAACAATGAAAGAAATGGCACTAACAGAGTCACAACTTATCCAGAAACTGAATCACAGTTTGCGAGTCAATCCTTCAAAATTTAGTTAAATGTTTCCAAAACTTCAGTCAAATAGTTTTGTAGTACACCCATCTTAAAGGTTCCTTTCAGCTTTCACCTTGCCAAGACCTGTCACTAAATTATGGGTTGCCTGAATAGATATAATTCCTCAAATCATGATTTTTGAAGTTAATTTGATAGATATTTTTAATTGCATGGATTATTGGCTCATATTTCTCTGCTATTTAGCCTTAATATTGTAGTGCAAACAAGCGCATACAGTAGCAATTCTTCTTCAACTATTAATGGGCAACTACTTCTAAATAGCAAGGAAGTTGCATGACTGTAGGGATATGGATAGCTTTTTCATGGGCTCTGCTCAGTTTGTATGTTGTAACTTATGTCGAGCTATTGCAAGTGAATTTAGCAAAGGCCAGTGAACAAAATTGACAAAAATATACATGATAAAGTTGCACATTTCAGCTTGGAGTTTGGTACTATTTCAACTGTCAATTCGACCTCGAACTTTGAAAGGTTCAAAACCTATCTGTCTCATGTTTGCTCACTCTATAATTTTGTCTACGCAAAGGTTTTCATCATAACTTAATAACAAACTATAATTTAGGTTTTGGAAATCATTGGTTTTTTATCAGGAAGCAGTGCGCGCTAACACTCTCTTACAACATTTCGACGGCCATTTTTAATCACCAAATTAAACAGAGTATAGAAATAAAATAACACCCGAAATAAAGTTTTTCGTTACTTAAATCTTATCTTTAAGTTTCTTATAATAGCTGAAAGTAACAAAAACATATAAATTTTACACAAGTAATATTTTATGAAGCAATAGTTTCAGCATACCTTCTGATGGGTCAGCCATATTGCGTAGCCATATTTGTTTACAATTAGAACGTCTTACCCCCCGCGAAGCCCGCATCACGGATGGGTCCGCTCGATGTATGGCCGTTTCTACGCCCTCTCTCCCTTCGCCCTGGTTTATAGATTTAATAAACATTTTCATCAGGCCTTGGGTTGCAAAATTAAATTACACAGATTTGGTATCAACGCGATTGAAAACGACCACGTAGAATTCGTCGTGCTATTGTCTGAACAGTCTGAGTATTAAAATTATTCTCATTTCAGATTCTAAGTTAACAATTCGAATAAAATTTTTTCTGTACTCAGGTTAGAATTATGTTTGTGATGTTACTCTGAGTGTATATCCATCCTATTAGACTCGCTATTTAACAACTAAATTTACTCGTTAATACATTTTAAGTTTACACATTGAACTGGCCATGCAAAACGTTTTCTAAATAAGCGACAAGCATTTATTCAAATTTGTTCAAATTCCCAACGGTGGGAAAATGGGATTTCGATTTTTAACGCAACCAAACAAAAAGGTGTCACATTACAGCCAAAAGTCCGATATTTACAAGCTTGAATAAATTAAATCAGATTCCGTACAATCTTAATACCTAATGCAGAATAACATGTCAAATTTGGATATCATTTTTTATACACCCTGTGCATTTCTGCCCCTGGTAGGGTTAAAATGTGCCTTTCTGCCCCTGGTACCCTGCTATCACAGATTCTTAATTTTCTCTCAACAAACAAGGAACAGACTCAAAGCTAAAATGTATTTCCTCTACTACTTTTCCAATGTAAACACTACAGCAACTAGATAAGCTTGTTATCGCATAATCAGATTTTCCGCTTGGCAATGGCACACACAACTCTAAAAATCTAAAGCTAGCTATACACCTTTTACTGTCTTCCCGTCAACCAACAACTTTAGCAATTTCACGGCGTTGTTTTCTCCCAATATCATTTTAACAAAAATCAAGCACACATTACAGAAACGGGGAATGATTGCGATAAGAACGTTTCCACCCATCAAGACCATCAACAACCGGTGAGCAACTCTAACCAAACCAAACGTTACCCTGAAGGAAGTCGATTATAATTTCACAATAAAATTCGATACATTTAATTAAATTCGCTCGAAACAATGTAAGGTGCAGAAAAAGGGGCTTTCTCAGTTAGTAGTCCATTCTACTGCATTGCAATACTATTTTAGCTTATGCTTGGAATACAACTAAAAAGGACGACGACATTTTAATGATATTAAAGCACCACCAAATCAGAAAACATCTCACGAGATTTTTCTCCGATTTGCCTAATCTCATTCTTATGGAACTTCGCGTCTTCTCCATAGACGGTAAATGGACCCCAGATCCTACTGGATCGGTAAGCTTCTATTTCGTGTTTCTGAAAGTGGTTCATTGTTTTTCTTAAAGCTTCACAAACTGATTTTTCTTGGCAAAGTTCGCCATAGAAATTTTCCATGAACTCTTTTGTGGCAATATCGTCAATGGGCCACAGTGTGGCAAGAACAGAGCGCGCTCCGGCTGCAAGAAATGCTCGAGTTATACCTATGACACCTTCTGAAGTAATTTCACCTTGCCCGGTGTGGCAACAGCACAAAACTACCAAGCGAGCTTGCACAGAAGTATTTAGAATATCTCGCTGTGTGAGAAGATACGACTCTGGCTTGGGAACAGCCAAACATGGTTGCACCTGGGAAGAGTTTGGCGCAAGCAATATACCACCTCGATTTGGTTCGCCATGCGCAGCGATATGGATTATACTAGCTCCATTTAGAAGTTGCAATACTACCTGTTTTGTTGCAGCACGTCCTAATAAAGGGGTAGCTTGAAAAAGCTTTGAGAGACATCGAACTTCTTCTGCGGCACTAGGAAGGTCAGATGGTGTAAAATCTTCTCCATGTAAAGAAACTTTTCCAACAGTTGGATTACCAACAAACAACGCAAAACCAAAGTCTGGGTCACAGGATTGTTCCATGGTACATTTCAGGGTATGCAATGAAGGTGTAATTTGAACGCTGTAAGTGTTGGATAAATAAGAGCCATTTTCATCAATTAATGCTGACAGCGGTGTAAAAAATATTTGCGGATCAGGGATGACAATGAGCTTCTTGCCGTTGATAAGATCTTTCACCGGATCAACTAAAAGCTGGAACAATATTTCTAAAATTTTCCGATTACTCAAATCGTTATAAGAGGCAGCATTTTCAACCGCATTCTTAGAGAATGACTTTCTGTTTGATATTTCGAATGGAAAAATAATTTGATTATGAATGTCAACAACTAAATTGGAGTTGCAAAACGAAGAATTCCGGTCCACACTAACTTTCACCCTCCTAAGAAGTTCCATAATGAGAAACTCTAATGATTCCAAACATACATCTAATTTTCTAAAGATAACTTCACCATTTAAAACCCAAACATTAAGAGAATCTTTTAAGTCAAAAGCAAACAGTAAAATTGAGGTACCATTTCTTCCTAAATCGAGAAATGTTTGCATTTCTTCCATTTCTCTTCGTTCTTCTCTGGCCTCGATTCTATTCCATATCCCACGTGCATAATCGAACATGTCCTTGTCCACAGAATTCTTATGTTTTTCAACGCAGCAATGGAGCTCCTTAGCCCTACCAAGGTCAATGACTAATAATGCGGCTTCAATGCGTTCCAAAGAAAGAAAACAATTCATCAACATTTTATGAGATAAGAAATATTGCATCGTGAACGACAGCCTATTTTCATCTGAAACCAATTCTAAAAATATTCTATCGAAGAAACTAATTGACTTCACCAAGTGTGATGTTGCAACTTCATACTCTCCAAGACATCGATAGGCATTGCCTAAATTGGCATTGCTACTTGCCATCCCTGACCGATCGCCAATACCAGTGCTTATTTCTAAACCTGTTTTGTAATAATCAATGGCCTTCTGACATTCTCCTAAACTGAGATAGCTATTTCCCAAATTTCCATTGCTACTTGCCATTTGTGACCGATCGCCAATAGCAGTGCTTATTTCTAAACCTGTTTTGAAATGGTCAATGGCTTTCTGATATTCTCCTAAACATCGATAGGCATTGCCCAAATTGCCATTCGCTCCTGCTATTGTTGACCGATCGCCAATAGCAGTGCTTATTTCGAAACATGTTTCCAAATAGTCATTGGCCTTCTGATATTCTCCTAAATCGACATTGGCATCCCCCAAATTGCAATTGAAAACTGCTATTCCAGACTGATCGCCAATAGCAGTGCTTATTTCTAAACCTTTTTTGTAATAGTCAATGGCCTTCTGATATTCTCCTAAACATTGATAAGCATTGCCCAAATTGCAATTTCTACCTGCCATTCCCAACCGATCGCCAATAGCAGTGCTTGTTTCTAAACCTGTTTCGTAATGGTCAATGGCCTTCTGATATTCTCCTAAACTGAGATAGGCAGTGCCCAAATTGCCATTGTTATTTGCTATTCCTGACCGATTACCAATAACAGTGCTCATTTCTAAACCTCTTCTGTAATAGCCAATGGCCTTCTGATATTCTCCTAAATTGACAAAGGCATTGCCCAAATTGCAATTGTTAACTGCTACTCCTGACTGATGGCCAATAGCAGTGCTTACTTCTAGACTTTTTTTGTAATAGTCAATGGCCTTCTGATATTCTCCTAAACATCGATAAGCATTGCCCAAATTGCAATTCTCACTTGCCATTCCTAACCGATCGCCAATAGCAGTGCTTGTTTCTAAACCTGTTTTGTAATAGTCGATGGCCTTCTGATATTCTCCATAACATAAATAGGCATTGCCCAAATTGCCATTGTTACTTGCTATTCCTAATCGATCGCCAATAGCAGTGCTTATTTCTAAACCTGTTTTGTAATGGTCAATGGCCTTCTGATATTCTCCTAAACTGACATAGCCCAAATTTCTATTTTTACTTGCTATTCCTAATCGATCGCCAATAGCAGTGCTTATTTCTAAACCTGTTTCGTAATGGTCAATGGCCTTCTGATATTCTCCTAAACCGAGATACGCATTGCCCAAATTGCCATTGATAGTTGCTATTCCAGACCGATCGCCAATAGCAGTGCTTATTTCTAAACCTTTTTTGTAATAGTCAATGGCCTCCTGATATTCTCCTAAACATCGACAGGCTTCGCCCAAATTGCCATTGTTAGTTGCTATAGCTGACCGATCGCCAATAGCAGTGCTTATTTCTAAACTCTTTTTGTGATAGTCAATGGCCTTCTGATATTCTCCTAAACATCGATAGGTACTGCCCAAATTACCATTGTTATTTGCTATTCCTGACCGATCGCCAATAGCAGTGCTTATCTCTAAACCTTTATTGTGATAATCAATGGCCTTCTGATAGTTTCCTAAACATCGATAAGCATTGCCCAAATTGCCATTGTTACTTGCTATTCCTGACCGATCACCAATAGCAGTGCTTATTTCTAAACTTTTCTTGTAATAGCCAATGGCCTTCTGATATTCTCCTAAACTGAAATTAGCATTGCCCAAATTGCAATTGTTAATGGCTATTCCTGACTGATCACCAATAGCAGTGCTTATTTCTAAACCTTTTTTGTAATGGTCAATGGCCTTCTGATATTCTCCTAAACATTGATAAGCATTGCCCAAATTGCCAGTGTTAGTTGCTATTCCTGATCGATCGCCAATAGCAGTGCTTATTTCTAAACCTTTTTTGTAATAGTCAATAGCCTTCTGATATTCTCCTAAACATCGATAAGCATTGCCCAAATTGGCATTGTTACTTGCTATTACTGACCGATCGCCGATAGAAGAGCTTATTTCTAAACTTTTCTTGTAATAGTCAATGGCCTTCCAATATTCTCCTAAATTGAAATAAGCATTACCCAAATTTCCATTGTTACTGGCTATTCCTGACCGATAATCAATAGCAGTGCTTATTTCTAAACCTGTTTTGTAATGGTCAATGGCCTTCTGATATTCTCCTAAATTTGGATAGGCATTGCCCGAATGGGCATTGTTACTTGCCATTCCTGACCGATCGCCAATAGCAGTGCTTGTAATTTCTAAACCAGTTTTGTAATAGTCAATGGCCTTCTGATATAATTCTACGAAATTAAGATGGGCATTCCCCAAATTGCCATTGTTACGTGGTATTTCTGACAGATCGCCAATAGCAGTGCTTATTTCTAAACCTTTTTTGCAATAGTAAATGGCCTTCTGATATTCTCCTAAACATTGATAGGCATTGCCCAAATTGACATTGTTAATTGCTATTCCTGACTGATTGCCAATAGCAGTGCTTATTTCTAAACTTTTTTTGTAATAGTCAATGGCCTTCTGATATTCTCCTAAACATCGATAGGCATTGCCCAAATTGCCATTGTTAATTGCCATTCCTGACTGATTGCCAATAGCAGTGCTTATTTCTAAACCTTTTTTGCCATATCTAATAGCTTCTTTATAATTTCCTTTGCATCGATAGGCATTGCCCAATCTGGAATTGCTATTTGCTACTTCTAATCCAACACCAATTCTGGTGCTTATTTCTGAACTCTTTTTGTAATGTGTTATGGCTTCTTCGTATTGTGCCAGACTAAGATATGTATTGCCCAACTTTGTATTGCTTCCAAGCATTCCCGACCAATGGCCAATTTCGGTGTAAATTTGTAAACTTTTCTCATAATTCTGAATGGCCATTTTATTCTCTCTTAAAGTAGCATACGAATCACCCAAACGGTCATTGTATTTTGCTATTCCTAACGGATCGCGATTTGAAATACAAGTTTGTAAACTCTCTTCGTATTTGGCTATGTTCTTTTTGGAAGCCATTGAATTACCTCTTTAATTAACCCTGCTTTTCTTGATCGACCTGAAACAAAGACATACAAGAACCGATTAGCTGGACAGTTTGCGACACCCATTTGTTCATTAATGAGCATGGAGGGTTAATCATATAATTCAAAGTTTTTAGATAGTAATTATAGACGCGATAATTTTTTTTTTTTGGGGGGGGGTGTATATTCATCCCCGAGCTGACGGCGCGAAGCGCCGTGCGAGGGTACTAATTCCCCCCGGCTATTTTAGAGGGTACTAATCCCCCCCCCCCGGCTAAAACCCGACGGCCTTTGCGCACATGAAAAAGTAATGAAACAACTAAACAAGACAGCATATAATTTCACTGTATCTTTAACATTGATTCCCTTTTTTTTATATTGAATTTTTTAAATAAAAAAGAAAGCAAAGTTATTTGCATGCGAGAATTTGAAATCATTTTATTGCAAACTCAAAGTTTATCGATAAAGCCATTTATAAATTAAAGGCAGTTTTAATAGTCTCCAGTTTAGTTTTATAAAGAACACTTTAAAACGTTTTGCGAAGCGTTTGTGGTTGAATTTTACCTCAAATTGAAGCTTATGTTACGTATAATAACATACCTAACATATCTATGTTGGGAAATTGACAGGGCGGCCGAGAGGTTGGCGGGGGCCCGGGCCAAATTTTTTTGGGGGGCCCCCTATCAAAAATTTTTTTCCGGATAACACCCCCCCCCGTCGCCAAAAAATTTTCGGTCAGTGAGTGTACCATTTTAGGGGTAAAAATATTTTTTCCGGAGAAAAAAATTTTTCCGGACGAGTACGTTGCAATTGCTTTCCAGGGACTTTATTCTCATTTTTTATGCCAAATTTCGGTACTTAGCCCAAGAAAACAGATATCTTGTCCTTTGCGCGGAAATATTTAACACACAAAAGACTGGGCCCAAAAAAAAATTTTCAGGGGCCCCCAGCACCTCGGGGCAATTTGCCCCAACTGCTCCCCCCCCCCCTCTGCGGCCCTGGAAATTGATAATTCTACTTCATCATTGGTCTCTGTCGCTAAGGAGTCACGTGAGAGCGCGCGCAATCCACGAGGTTCATAGCGTACTTTCCTTCGAGGAGTAAGGTTCTTCAAAAATTTTAATATGGCAGAAAATAGCGAAAAATACTCTGAAATTGCTCGGACTGGCGAGATTTCCGTTGCAGAAGAGACTGCTTTGCTGGGGGAAGATGGTACTGGCGATGATAGCGATGCTGACTCTCAAGAAATAACGATGCAAGGGCCCGCGAAAATGATGAACTCTATGAACGAAAATATGACCGCCGTGGTATCTTCTTTTGCTTTGTTGGGATCTTCTCTGAAGAGATCTCGTGATGAATCTAACAGCAGTAGTCAGACCAACAAGAAACAAAAAACGAGTAACGATCCAACTATTGATGACGACCAGCACACAGGCGATGAAAGCGATCATTCCTCACTGCTCACACAGCGATTCAGCAGAACTCCGAGCAATTATGGCGCCAAAAGATGAAACGACCACATCGACGGTCGAGTCCTCGAATTTGCTCAGTCAAATTGCGAGTGACTTTGACGAGGATGAAAATACTTCAGGTGCCGTCACCGAGAAGCTTGCTGAGATCGTAAATAAACGTTTTTCGGCGCCCTTAGGCGAAGAGAAACTAAAAGAAAAACTGGGGCAGTACTTGCGTCCAGATAACTGCGCTAAGCTCGCAGTGCCGAAGGTCAATCCTGAAATATGGATGAAATTAAACCGCCCAGCTTCAAGACAAGACCTTCACATGACCAGCATCCAAAGGGCCATTGTAAAAGCTGGTACAGCTTTAACACAGTTAGCTGAAAATGGCTGGATCGATATCGCAAATACCGATATACCGCCATCAGAATACCGGTAAATACCGGTATTTTTAACGCGTTTTTTTTTAAGCCAAACTGAAGTGCTGACCGTCAAGAAAAATCAAGTTTTGACAAAATATTAATGTGGCACATACTGTTATTAGTGCAAATGTCACAAGATTCGCATTATCAAGCTATGTTAACAATTAACAGCGCTTATTACATGATTGAGTCGATTTCTTTTGTTATTCAAGACCTTGTATCTAGCGTAATTACTCGTCCATCTGAAAGCCCGGGGAGGGATTTGATTTTCAGCAGGGAAGAGCGGGGCTGATGTATGAATTTGAATTGCTCAATGCACACATGAGGAGGTATATATCTAGTTAAATACCTCATGAATAGTTTAATGAGGTATTTATCTAGATAAATACCTCATTAAACTATTCATGAGGTATTTAACTAGATATATACCTCATGAATAGTTTAATGAGGTATTTATCTAGATAAATACCTCATTTAAACTATACTCATGATGTACTTATCTGGGTAAGTACCTAATGAGAGGTTAGTCTCTTTCCCAACTCGATAAACGCTGAACCGTCTCCAGTCGGGAAAGAGACAACAGCCGTGTACCTCAGAGCCCGTCAAAACTCTACCATTAGGTAAGAGTATCTATCATTCGGCGCACGAGGACTAGCTGGATCAACCATCAAACTTGCTTGTGCAGGGAATTTATACAGTGACATCTGCTCTTTTGCTTGTGGGACGTGAAATGATATACTGCGCATGCTTAACCACATTTTAAAGCGTGTATAGTGCGCATACTCAAACTTGTGTTACGTCCCACAAGCGTAAGAGCTGTTTTGTGAAAACCTTCTCAATCATGTAATAAGTCAGTTAATTACCTCGAACCTCGGCATTTAGTCAAATACAGGCCTCGGCGCTGCGCGCCTCGGCCTGTATTTGACTAAATGCCTCGGTTCTCGGTAATTAACTCTTACTAAGCGGCAATTATTAGTAGGCCGTCGATTGGGCGTCGAAGTGTTGAATCATTCAGAAAAATATTCGTTTTGTATATAAATTCAGATAGTGTTTCAGTAAGCTGCTAATAGTTATAAACATAAAAAACGTTGCATTTTTAAAACTAAC